TCTGCAGCAAGTGCTCCAAGTTTGCTTCACTTTTAGCAAGCAAAGTCGTGTCATCTACATAATGCAGGTTGTTGATGAGTCTTCCTCCAATCCAGATACTGTTCTTCATAGAGTTCAACTTCATGAATATTTTGTCCAGCACACAGATTGAATAGGTATGGAGAAAGGATACAACACTGACACATACCTTTCTAACAATCAATCAACACTCAGTAGTCAAGAAATCAAAAGACATGATGCATTGAGAAAAATCTGCTGTCAAGGACCTCTCGAAAGTGGTCAAGAGGAACAGTATAAGTTTAAGGACTAAGGTGTGCCTGAAATGTAAACTATTGCAATCACTCTGGAAAACATTTTACCACTAAACATGTAACAGCTGTACAGCAGAGTTTTCTTGGGCATTTATCCTCCAGAAATAGACTAAGGTTCACACTAAAGGCCCACTATAAACATTTACAGCAACTTTATTCCTAATAGCTCAAGATGGGAAATATTTTTTCCAATGATGCAATGATTAAACAAGCCACACTCTATCTTTACCCCAGACTATCCTTACTCACTTATAAAAAAAAAACAAAAAAACACCCAATTGCTACATGAAACAACGTGAATGAATCTCTAAAGAATTACACTTAGGGAGAAAGGCAATTCCCAAATCACTTCTGATTCCATTTATATCCAGTGATATTCTTGAAATCACAAAACTCTAGGCATATGTGATTGATTCGTGGTTGCGAGGGACTAGAAGAGGGAGCTCTGGTGGCCTAGTGGGTAAGGTGTTATGCTATCCGTTCCAAGGGGGGTGGTTCCAATCCACCAGAGGCTCTTCAGGAAAGAGATGCGAGATCTTTCCCTGTGCAATCTACAGCCTCTCAGAATTTGCTGGCGGGCCAGTCGAGAGTCAGTTCCAAATCAATAGCAATTTTTGAGCAGCAGCAGGCTGTGGCAGAGGGTGGAGTCTGTTGGGAAGTAGACGTGGCGATAAAAGGCACTGGGGATGGGGACATCTCTGTGATGATGGATACGGTCTGTATTTTGGCTGTAATCAACATCCTGGTGGTGATGTATTGCAGTTATTGTTTTTAGGTTTTTGTTGTGAAGCATATCGTTAAAACAACACTTGCTGGTTTAGCGTTTGCCACGTGTACAACTGAACGAAACTAAGGAGGACTTGAAACAGAAGATTCAGGACTGCAGCCTTCAATGTGAACTGCATCTCAACATCAACAAAGCAATGATTCTTATCACCAATAGGCAACATCATGATGGATGGAGAAGAGATTGAAACTGTCAACAACTTTATCTTACTTGGATCCACAACTAAGGCCCTTGGTACCAGCATTCAGGAAATAAGGAGATGCATTGCGCTGGGCAAATCTGCAGTTACAGACCTCTTCAAATAATTGAGGAGTAATGCTGGCAGTTTGGGTTTTTTTTTATCTTTTAAAATATAGCTTTATATATACATATAGCTTTCCACATATGTACATAATATCTCTCTGAAGGTCAGAGCAGTAACTCCAAATTTTGGAGCCCCAGAGGATTTATAGATTATTCTTGGTGTTGACCAGTGATTAAATCTGAGGAAATGCCATTTGGAGGCAAGACCTCTGAATTTTGAGGGGGGCTAGTGTGTGAGGAATTAGGGCAACAGTAAGAGCTTTACATTCTGAAAATAAGAGAGGCAAAACACAACACTCTTTGAGTGAGGGCAATAAAATGAGAGGGGGCATGATTAGAAGGATTCTACTACTCCCAGGTTCCTCAAATTGGTAGAACTGGTGGCAATGTCTGGGTCATCCATTCTTCCCTTCAAAGTTTGACAGAGAAGGATGACCCACAGAAACAGCCTTGCTGCGCTTGAGGATTGTTCAACACTTGAAATGAGCTCCGGATACGTTCTTAGCTGAAGTCCACCTGGCCCCCTTTGACGAAGGCCAAACTATCAGAGTCAACCACCACTCTTGCCCCACCCTGTTCAAATACCCTGCCATCGGGGTTGATAACTGTATCCAGCGAAAATTTATATTGAAATCCAGAGCATCCACCTCCTTCCACTTGCAATCTGAGGAATTCTGACCCTTCAAGTGATTTCCAAAAGCCTCTGGACACAGCTGTCAGTGAGGTGGATCTGCCACTCGTCGGCCTGGGGGCTGGGGGATGACGCCTTCCGACACATCAGAGGCCTGAGGCAGGCCGCGGGGAGCCTGTCCCTCAGCCGGAGAGTGACCGCTCTCAGAGCAGCCGCCGCTTGGTATAGCTCCCACGCGGCCGCCATCTTCGTCGGCTCCGCTCCCTTCTCAACCCGAGTCCTCAATGAGAACTCAAGGTGAGTTCTAAGGTGCATCTGATTCAGGCCAGTGTCTTTCTGATCACTTGCTATGCTTCTGAGAGTTGGACAATGAATAGGGACAACAGAAGAAAAATGGATACCTTTGAGCTGTGGTGTTTGTTGGGGCACTGAATATCCCACGGACAAACAAAAGAACAAACAAGTATGTCTTGAAGAAGGTGCACCCAGAGTACTCTTTGGAGGCAAGTATGATGAGGCTTTTTGCCTCACATACTTTGAGCATGACCTTGGAGAGGGACATGATACTTAGAAGTGTCGAGGGTCGGCAAAGGAGAGGAAGACCCTTGACCAGGTGGACTGACACAGTGACCGCCGCAATGGGCTCTAGAGTGTCAGGAAGTGTGAAGATGGCACAGGATAAGGTAGGGTTCAGATCTGCTCTTCATGGGGTCGCTATGAGTTGTATTTATCTCGATGACACCTAAACAAACCACAATTTATCATTTGTGGTATACAATCATCACCAGTGTTAACTGCCACATACTAACTGTGGCAAATATCAACACTGAGAAAGGCTGGGTAAAGGTACATATGATTCTTCTGTATTGCTTCTTATGACTGCCTGTGAATTTACAAATATTTAAAATTGAAATTTGATTTAAAGAAAAGCGAGTAGGTGTAAAATACTGAGATGATAATAGTAGAGATGAAGTGAACAAAAATGATGAGGATAAGAAAAAGCCTGGAAAGTCCTGCTTTAGAGAAAATGCCTTTAAAGATTCATCCTCCCAACCCCCCTTATAGCTGTAACTGGAGGTTTCCTGGCAGCAAAACCAGTTTTCTGTGATGGATCAAGTTCTGAGAGTTTTATGGACTGCGGTGTGACACATAGCAGCTGGGGTCAAGTTTGGATGCAGGAGAGGCAGGAGGCCGAGGCCTGGGTCACTTTGACCAGCAAGCAGGGACTGATAGTCAAGGGCTAGTTAGCTCAGGCCCAGGAATGGAATCCCTGGCAGTTCCGGGGACTTCTTTGCTGGTCACCGGGCCCACAGTGGAAGTAATCTCCTTAAAAGATGTTTCTTGGACAAGCCTAGACAAAGCAGAGGCCTATGTGTCTGAGAGGCGGGGGGTAAGCAGTTCTTGGACAGTTCTAGACAGTGCATTTGACCTAGCCCTCTGGGAAGCCTGGACAATGACTGAACTTCAAGGTGCATTAATTGCTTTTTAGTTACATTCCCCTGTTTTGCTTGGTCTAAAGCAGAGGCCTTCAAGAATGTGGGAGAATCATCTGAGGGCCTCTTAAAACACAGATTGCTGGGCACTACCCTCTGAGATTCACATTTCATAGGTCTGAGTGGAGAGAGGAATTTGCTTCTCTGACACATTTGAAGGGAGCTTTGGTGGCCTAGTAATCAAGAGTTGCCAACTCAAAGGCTCTAGGTTCAATCTACCACCTTCTCCACAGGACAAGATGGACAATCTCCTTCCGGTGATTTACAGGCGGAAACCCACTGGAGGGTTAACTCTGAGTCAGTTCTGACTTGATGCAACAAACAACAGCCTGCTTTGAGGCAATGCTGAGGCTGTTGGCCGAGGAAGCACACTTGAGAACCACTGGTGTAAAAGGAGTAAGAGCATGCCTGACCCGGAGGGGAGAGGGCAGACACCTTCAGTTCTGTTTACCCTGCGCCCCCTCCCCCGCCCCCCCCCCCAGAGCTAAGGAGCCCTTGTGATTCTGTAGTGGTGGTTGTGGGGCAGGGGGAGTGAGAGTGTGTGTGCGTGTGTGTGGTATGTTGGGGTGTGAGGTATGAACAGAGGACATGGGGGTTAACATGGACATGGACTTGAGAACAAAGGCTCTAAGAGGACCATAGAACGAGGATCCTGGTTTTAGTTTTGAGGGTGGAGAAGGAGCCCTGGTGGTGCGGTGGGGTAAGTGTTGGTCTGCTAACTGAAAGGTCTATGGTTCTGACCCACCGGATTCCGTGGGAGAAAGATGCAATTTACTTGGGTAAAAGATTTATGGCCTACACTCTGTCGTACTCTATCCTGTAGGGTTGCTAGAAATTGGAGAGGCCAGGGAAGTGAAAGAGAGGCTTCCAGGAGAACCAGGGGTCTGGAATAGAGGCCCTGCTGCAACTACAAGGAGGACGTTGAGGAAGTTCTTGGGGACCTGCGGGAGGTTAAGAGGTGTGTGTGTGAGGACATAGGTTTAGGCGTGTGTGTGTGTGTGTGTGTGTGTGTGTGTGTGTGTGAGAGAGAGAGAGAGAGAGAAAGAGAAAGAAAGAGAGAAAAGAGAGAGCGGTGGTTCCCCTAGGAGCTTGGGGAGAAATTAGTGTGCATGAGGCTCCTGAGAAAGTTGGGGTGAGATTTAAGGTCTGGGAGCGGATGCATTCAGTAGTCAGCGGCGGCGTGACAGTAGGCTCTGGGGTCCTGGGCATGGCCCTAGGGGAGGCCCAGAAGGAAGGCGACCTGAAGCGTGGCGGGGGCCGCGCGGTGTCCAGAGGACACCGGCTCCGCGTGCCCTGCGGCTCGG